AAAAATTTAATTAAACTATTTTTTTATCATGTTATATAAATAAATGTGGCATAAAAACATAGCTAATAATCCAAATTTTAACATCATATAAGTTTCAGATTCTTAATTTTATAAGGCAATCCTCAATTTTCCCTAATGTGAGAATTGTGACATTTCTGTCCAGGTATCCCCTCTTCTCCAATTTATTTACCACCCCTCCTCAAACTAAAAATTTTAATGTAAATTACTCTTTATAACATTGTCATTACTCAGGCAAAGCATAATTTTTATAGGTTTCAATTTTATTTGGTTACAGAGACATAAAATCAGACTCCACTTGCCATATTCACCTGTCACATGTTCTCTTTCAGAAATTGCTTCTAGTTCTCTTTGATGCTTAATAGTACATTATTTATAACCAACAGAAAGCCAAGGTTTTAATCTATCAAATTATGTATTGTATCACGTTGTTTTCAATACATAGAACTGTCTATTTCACTTCAAGTAAAATTTTTATTCCCATGGAAAACACTTTGATGAGCTTAGCTGAATTTTTAACAGCTCTTATCACATAGTTAGAAAGCCAAAAAATTGCAATAGCTATGTGATATTGTTTGCTTTTTGCATGTTATCATTCTGTGTTCTTTGGTACATTATATAATGAAATGAAAAATTATTTAGTGCAGTAGTATCATTAGTATAAAAAAGTAGGCTTAAGTGTCACTGACAGTCAAAGGCATAAAAAAAAACACCAGGTATTTTATTTCTTGTTTTTCATGTGTATTCTTTATTTATTATTATAAGAGTAAGAGAAATGTAAAACGAACAATAAGAATAATAAATTTTTTTTCATAAGGTATGCTCATTAGCAGCTCCCAAGCAACCCATACATTATGTAAATTTTATGGTGGGAATATTAATTTAGACATGATTCAAAGGACAATAACACAATAAAATTTAAATAAAAACAGATGTATACTGTTATGAGTTTAAAGCTATATAACAAATGTAGTTTCATATTACAATCTGAAGTGATCTAGAAAGAAAAAAAAAATGTAATTTAGATTTATTTCCTTTTTTTTGGTGGTCAAATTGATTCACCTCATACAGAATTATGGTAGAGAAGATAACATATAAAATATAGTTTTAATGAAAAATAGCATTTTCTAATTATTTAGGTGATTTTAGAAATTACACATGAAATTTCAAAATTTTCAGATAAATAAAAGATTTTTGTAATTTTAACATGAAAATTACTTTGCACTTGGACTAGTAAACAAAAATACTTGATATATTCAGAAACAAATCTTTATTAAAAAATATTTAATTTAAAAAATCTTTTTCGTTACAAAAGTCTTGGGATGTTTATTGAGAATCTGTCAAATTTTGTGATTATATACATACTGTATCAAAAGTTATTGTATGGAAACTGTAACGAGTACAAAATGGTTACAAGTTAGGTTGATTCAATTGAGCCAGTGTGGAAAGAGTTAATGAATATTAAACAAGTTGAAATTAGTTGGACATTTCAAATTAAACTTTCTTGTTCATAAAAAAAATTATATTTTGATGTAAATGCATGTATTTGTAATTTCTTTTCGAAAGGTGTTTCTCAAGGCAATATCTAAAGTTATTTTAATTTTTTAAAGCAGAAACTAGATGCTACTTAGAAAGTGTATACTAAGTTTTATGCCATTTGATTAAGTACAAATGAAATATCAATGACAATTCTCAAGTCTGGAAAAAGATTTGAAAATTCCTAAGAAACTGGCAAAAGGAAGGATGATTTTGATGCAAGTTCAGTATATCAAAGGTTTTTTCCTGCACACTTATAATGTGCATCACACTGAATACTATAAGAATTTTTGAAAAACAAATTGTATTTTCAACACATTTCTGATTTTATATATAAAATCTGTATAAATTACTATAAAAGGTCTTTCTCACATGTCCAAGTGAAGGTCCACGGGGGATGATTGTCACCTTGTGTAGTGGATGAGAGTGCTTGGTGTAGTAAGCAACCAAAGCATGACCTCCTTCATGGTAGGCTGTAATAACATTAGCTTCTTCATCTGGAATACGAGATTTTCTTTCTGGGCCTACAGAATAACAGTAACAACAACAAAAGTTAACATTTTCCTAAACTGAAAATGTATTTCCAATAGATACTTACCTCCTATAACAAAAAAACTTTCTTAACTAGTACTTCCCTCTATCAGCACAAATTTTCTGCTCATCACTAGCCTTGAAACTCCTACAACTTTACTGTATATCAAGATGTAAATGATCATACACCAACCCTCCACCAATAGGAGCACAACACTACCTTATGGTAACCAACACCCTCTTTAATCATGCACTTGTTAATCACTTCAAGATTAGTCATAATTAATTGAACCAAATCACATCAGAAGTTGGGAGGAAGGGTGGGAAATGCAAGAGGAAGTACATATCTATCTGAAATATATTTTCAATTAAACTTTTTGAGATGGGTCATGGGTCAAAGACCATGTTATTGCATTTGTTGACTCACATTCAAAATTTTATTGAATTACTATTTCATGATCTTATGTCAATAAGTTTGGTATCAAACTGTAGATTATAATTCAAATTTTAGCATTGTACATTATTTAATTTCTTAGTTAAAAGTAGATATAAAAAAAAACAGTTAAACATCGATTTTTATGTGTCTTGTTACCACTATTGATTGCAGCACTAGTTCAAATTAGATGCTTGTGATGTCAAAATACTAACTCTATAGTTTTGTAGGAATTAGGAACTCAAACTAACAATATTGACAAAGTAGAATATAAAATACGAACCTCTATATCTTTTCTATTTGTTAAGATATTGCTCATATAATGAATCAAACACAGTGGCCCTCGTGCCCACCTCTTTCCATTTTTGGAAATGCTCCTTTATATACACTTACTTCAATATATGACATGTGAATAACTAATTCAAAAACTCAGAATGTCCCAATAGTGGCTTTTTCAGCCATTTTAAAGCCTTAGGACACCGTCTTGTTCTTTTGAACCAAGATTTCAAGGAGGTAGGTTGTGTCTTTAGTCTGCTCAAAATTTCATATTTTTGTAGACTCAAAAACAGCTTAGTTACTAAGCTTGATAAATTATAGAGGAATTCTATGGTACTGATGTAGTAATTTATGATTTTTTAGTTATTCAACTGTATATAAAGAACCTAAAAAATATATTTTGTTTCATATCCTCCGCGTGCAAAATTTTTAAAGGCTTAGCAACCTACGCCAAGCAGCAACAGTGTACAAAGGTCACAAATAGAAGAGATAATTGTTTGCTTTACTTCTTTATTTACTGTTCTATGTTTTAAGAAAAATAAGTTTAAAAACTTATTTCAAAATAGCAATAATCTATATACATATATAATGTATAATAATTGAAATGTGACTGTATTTTACAAAATACCACTCTACTAAAAGACAGTCAAGACAAGTTACTTTGTACAGACGAAAGGTCAGTTTTATGTTATTTGATATGTTAACATGAGTGCACGTGAACTGCATCATTGTAACTTCTGTATTGTTAGCCAGGCATGGCTCAAAAGTCAATATACTAAAAATAATAACTACATATAAATCTATAATGTTATGAGATTTAAGCTACTTAGCCTCTATGGTCCACCACCCTAGCAGCTAGGAACTAGGAAGTGGCAAGGATTCCCATACTCCATTAGAAGGAGGGGGGGGGTGTGATAGAGAGTCCCGAAGACCACGGCACTGGAGCTACCACATTAATGGCGGCATCTGGAATTATACATCAGGTCCACAGTAGGAAGAGTTTCAATGCTACAGAGCATCAGAGATAGGCAGGCAACCCATCTGCTTTACCCATGTAATTCCATGAGTGTACAGTCTGGGATGAACCTATTTATGAAGACCATGTTTGGTCGAGTGGTCCTATGGAACATTCCATCTCTACGGTGTGTGTGTAACATGAATCTGTGACTTTTTATTATATTTCACGTAATATTTGTGATATCGATGCCTAAGAAACAATGGGATGGAATCAATCAACCAACACCTAGCAGCATCTGGAATTGTATGTCAGGTTCACAATATAAACAGCTTCACCGTGATAGACATCTACTACAGTCATAGGATGCATGGAGCAGATTTAGGATTAAGTATACCTGGTCAAGCACCACTCACCACAGAGTGGGACCAAATCATATGTTGAAAAAGGCCCCTGTAAAGAAAAATTAAAACAAATGTTGTACTTCACATACCCGCCCTGATGATGTCCACAAATGGAAGACTGAAAAGAGCAGCTAGGGACAAGGTAAGGTGACAAATCTGATGGGAAAAACATGACAAACATCCAGAGAAAGGGAAAAATATGTCAGGCAAAGTGACAGGTGAATCCAACCCATAAGGAGAAAAGTAGGATTCCAATGAAGAAACAAATGGATCTGGAAACCACAGAAGGACACAGTACATGTCATATACCATCTAAAAAGTCAGTAAGGATCGGAACAGTCCTAAAGGTGGGAGATGAAGGGATAGCAATGAGGAGTGAAATCAGGATTACTCTCCTGAGCAGCTGAAATCTTGGGCATAAAGAACAAAACATAGCGAACCCAACACCAAACACTTTGGAAAGATGGTGACCACATGCCAACAAAATGAGGAACAAAGACATCAAAGAAAAGTAATATGACAAACATGATGACAAAGGAGGACGAGTAAGAGTATGAAGGACAAGAATGAGGTTCCAATCCTGGAGAAAAACAGGGTGGAGAAGATAAATAATGGAGAATCAGTGAAATAATATACATAGTACATGAAATTGGAACACAGAAACAAATTTGGTAAACCAAAAAGTGGAAGACAAAACTGCCCTATAACCCACAACAAAGAAAACGGATATGTCCCAGTCATAAAGCCAAGTGAAAAAGGATGGCAATGGAGGAATGGTAGGATGATAACTTACACATATAGACCAATAGCAATAAGTATATCACCTATGCTGGTAAACCGTCAAAGAGGAAGGATGAACAGGAAGGGAAACCAAGGAAGCTAAATGCTCAGAATTTCTCGACCTTAAGATAAGGGATCAGACAAAAGCCACACATGATGATGATGGAGTGTGTGTATGGATGGATGATGCACATAGGAATGAGGTTGAAAAAGGAGTGTGGGATATGAAGGCAGAGGAAGGGGAGGTGACACCAAAGCCACTGCAGAAGTGGAAAACATTAGATCTGGCCAATATGGTGCCACCAGGAGAACTCGACACAGAATAATCTGAACTATTGATAGGACACAAGGAAGAAGCTGAATAGGAGGATATGCATAGAGGTAATGACCTGTTCAATCCTGACTGAGAGCATCCACTTCTCCCACATGAACAGGAAACTAAAAATGGGGAAGGTCTGTATCAAGATGAAAGGGTAAAATGAGAAGATCCAAAGACCATACCATCAGTAGAATCCTGTCTGGATGGGATAACTGATTTGTGACCAGATTCAGGGCAAACTTATTGAAACATGCCAACAAAATGATATGGTGGCAGTCAGTCTAATAAAGAAAATACAACAATCGAAAATTAAGGTATCTTGACCAGGTGTACCCATGCCTGGTAATGTAGGACACTAGCACAGAAATGTCAGAGTGGATCATTCCCAAGTGGGATAAAGTAATAGTTACATGTGGTAGATGAAACCTCATTAGGCATTACTGTCAGGTCACATTATTGGAAACAGTAAACACATTGTATTATTTAAATTGCATAAAGTGTAAACAAATACTGTTCAATGATACTGTCCTTTACCTATATTAGTGTAATTAATTAAGAATATCAATTGGCAATATAAGCATCAAATGTAATATACCAGAATAATTACAATTTCCAACAAAGAAAGTAAAGAAGTTCAACATTGTAATTATTTTCTGTCTATCTGAGCATAGGAATGATGCAATATAATGTCTAGCACAGATAGAAAGAAAAGCATTATCTATCTTTCTGCCAAGATCAATTACATGAAAAGTAAAAACATAATAATAAACAAACACACACACATATATATATGCATCCACATTTCTTTGTTAACAAAACTAAAAATCAGTCATTCAGTATTTGTTTTTGCAATCCCTCTCTTTCAAAAATGCAATAACAGCAACTTCTACAGTAGAGAAATTTGAATTTTCATGATTATAACATTTCAACCTATAGTATCAGATCATCATCAGGTAACAGTTATATTCAATAAAGCAGCCTGAATTTCAGAACTTTACAAACTCATAATGGCAAGGACAAGGTTTGTAGGTGGTGCTCAATTAACTTTTACGTAAAATGAGGTAGATAAAATATTAATATCAAATAAGGGGGGGGGGGGGGTCTTGGATATTTATTTACAGTTTGCTTAGATGACTTGATAAGTAGTGCTTTGGTTACCTTTCTTCTGTTGATGTCTGTTTCTCTGACAAATAGAAGAAACCTACAACTGTGCTATTTAACTAATTATCAAAGACCTGAAAAGCAGAATTTTCACATCCTCATTTAACCTTGTTTAACCTCACCAAGTTCTGTTTCAAAGTCAGTTACATCACTTATTGTCAACTTCGATGACGAGGAACCCACTTTGAGACTAATAATGGCTGGAGACGGCTTAAATGGGTAATGAAGAAAAACTTTAATATAAGCTTATATTGCTGTCATGTTAAGCTTATATTAAAGTTTTTC